GTGAGTCTGGGTCTTTGTATCCCTGTGTGTGTGTGTGTGCATTCAGTTGGGAAGAAGAAGGGAGCCCGAGAAGAGCGCGCCCGGGATCAATATGGCGCTTCCTGGCCTGGGGAGGGCTGACGAGGGAAGAGGGAGCAAAGTGGGCCAAAGGAGAGCCGTGGAAGGGCCAAAGGGACAGAGCCCTCTTCGGCCCGACTTCCCCCTTCAGTGGGTTCCGGAGTTGGAGTCTCAGCTTGGCCACAATCCGTGGAACAGAGAGCGACTTGGAGTGGGAAACTTTGGTGTGGGAAACTCGTTCCCATTTGGATACTTTTCTGCAATGTTTTGGGGAGGAAAAGGCTTGGAATATGGCTTCTCCTCTTCCTTCGCTTCCTCCTCCCACCACTTTGGGACGAGCAGAGATTTCTCCCTCCTTCCCGGTGTTGTGTTTGGGGGGGGGGGGGAGGGCTGGCGTCGCGAGGAGTCCCGAGGTGTTGGTGTGTTGCCTTCAGGGACTGAACTCTTTGTTGTTGCTCCCGCCTGCCGCTCTTTGGGCTGCAGCAAGTGGTTTGCCCGGAGAGCAGGCTTCCCTTCTTTTCCTTTTCCTTCTCTCTCTCTCTCAGACCCCGTCCTTTGCAGGCTTCCCTTCTTTTCCTTTCCCTTCTCTCTCTCTCTTTCTCCCCTCCTCCCCGTCCTTTTCAAGAGCAGGCTTCCCTTCTTTTCCCTTCCCTTCTCTCTCTCTCTCAGCCCCCGTCCTTTGCAGGCTTCCCTTCTTCTTTCCTCCCCCCTCCTTCTCCCCCCCCCCGGCCTTTTCAAGAGCAGGCTTCCCTTCTTTTCCTTTCCTTCTCTCTCTCTCGCTCTCGGACCCCGTCCTTTGCAGGCTTCCCTTCTTTTCTTCTCTTTCCCTTTCCCTTCTCTCTCTCTCTCCTCCTCCATTTCAAGAGCAGGCTTCCCTTCCCTTCTTTTCCTTTCCCTTCTCCCTCCTGTGTCCGTTTCTCCCGTGGAAGGAGAGACTTTCCACGCCGAGATCTTTCCCCGAATCTCTCGAGGTTTTGGAAGGTGTCAGATCAGGAGAACGTGGATCTTTTCCTAGTTTCCCAAGAAATAGCATAACAAGGAGGAGGTGGAAAAAGGGGAGAGAAGCAATGTGGCAGCACCTCATTGTCGCCAGCATCTTATTTACACAGAATTGGGACATCATGTGATAAGATCCAGAAAAAAATGCAAATTATGCCCCTTGTGTTAAATTTTCAAAGGCTTTCTGGAGGTGATACAACTCCTTTAGATCTTTATACTGTGTTTACTTCTCAAGTGCTTGTTGCAATTGTTGCAGAGTTGTGTTTCTTAGTTGTTGCAAAGGTTTTTTGTTCACAATGAGAGAGAGAGAGAGAGCCTTCTTTCTCTCTTTCTCCCTTCCTTTCCTGTCCCTCCCTCCCTGCCATGGGACAAGTTTCCTCCTCCTCTGCCTTTCCCTCTCCAGGAGCTGTGGTTTCTGCAAAAGGCTTGAAATCCAGCCCCAGGCTTTCCAGCCAGTCCAGGCCCAGAGAAGCAAGCAGGGAGGAGTGAGGGAGGGAGGGACCGAGGGAAGGGAAACACTCCCCCAGAAATCATGGAGTCCCCCCTCTGCCTGGGAGTGGAGTTCTGAGGCTGCTGAAGCATGTGCTCTCTTGGACTTCTGCCTCTTTTCAAGCTGGAAAACAAACTCCTTTATAACAAACCTATGGCGTTAGACCAGCGTGGCTTATCCTCCCCTTGTTTTGAAAAGAGCTCTTATTGGAAAAGAAACAGCTTTTGCTGTAGCGGTGTGGTTGTGCGTAGTTTGAACACTTGCGGTAATACAGACTCTCTGCATTTCCAGAAAAATACTATCTCAGTGTAGAGGAGAGATATTTGTCTCGTTTCTGCAAAGGGGGTTAAAACCATTATTACATTTCAGGAGGAACTGTGGCTGATGTGTCCTTCCAGAGAAACCAATCTGTTACACACTAACTTGCCCTCCTACTTTGCTTGCATCATTCCTGGTTTTGTGTCCAGTCACCACTTCTCTCTCTACAATTCATAAATATATCTGAAACAGGCCTAATTTTGGGGTGGGGGAAGGGGGAGACATATATAATTATTATTATTCAGCCTTGGAACAGTATGTGAGCATGTACAAAAAACATTGAGTGTCCCTGTATTGTTGAACTGAGTTGTTGTGAGCTTTCCAGGCTGTAAGGCCATGTTCCAGAGCATTCTCTCCTGACGTTTTGCCTGCATCTGTGGCAGGCATCCTCAGAGCTGGGGTTTTTTTTTTTGGTCGTGTCAGGAGCAACCTGGAAAACTGCAAGTCGCTTCTGGTGTGAGAGAATTGGCTATCTGCAAGGACGTTGCCCAGGGGACACCCGGATGATTTGATGTTTTATCATCCTTGTGGGAGGCTTCTTTCATGTCCCTCCCGCATGAGGAGTTGGAGCTGATAGAGGGAGCTCATCCGCCTCTCCCCAGATTCGAATCTGCGACCTGTCGGTCTTCAGTCCTGCCGGCACAGGGGTTCAACCCACTGCGCCACCGGGGGCTCTGCTCAGAGTTTGTGAGGTCTGTCCTCTGAGGATGACTGGCATAGGGGCAGGTGAAACGTCAGGAGAGAATGCTTCTGGAACATGGCCATACAGTCTGGAAAACTCACAACAACCCATTGAGTGTCTATCTGCAGGAAACTCATGGTCCTTTTCCAGCATCAAAACATAATATTTATTTATTTATTTACTATGTTTATACCCCTCTCTTCTCATCCTGATTATGTCAAAATTCAATGTTGCATTGTACATATAATAAATAAACATACCAATTTATAAAACAGTTAAAACATATAAATACAACAAAGCAGATTATGATCATACATAGTGTCGGGTCTTGATTTCCATATTTTTTAATTTTCCCATAGTCATTATTCCAACTGCTACAGAAGTCTGGGGGCAGAAGATACATCTTGGTCTATTGCCCTTGACATTTTTGATAGACCAGAGCTATGGGAAAAAACAGAAAGACAACTTAAAGATTTACCCATTAAGGAAAGAACCAGACTGTTTTTTATGTCACATGAAGTAGATATTTTTGAAGCGTGTGGACTTCTAAGAAGGATGCTCATTTATTGGAACTGGAGATTTTTACTTGTTTGGACTACAGTGCCCAGAATCCACCAGCCACCCATGCTGAGTAAAAATGACCAAGTTCTCTTGTTGACATCTTGACCTCCTCTCATCCCACTCAAAATGTAAGAAAATTCCATGCTGTGATTATATTACTGGTCTCCAGCAGTAGGTGAGCTCACGGGGTTGTGAGTCATGGGAGAGATGCTGGTAGACACAGCATGTTGCCTGCAAAACCCACCAGCCAGAGCAAAGAGAATAAGGTTGCGTATATAGTATTTCAACATGCATGGCGTCATTTCAGCTGGATGTGAGATGTTGTCCTTACACAATGGGATTTCCCTTTGGGATCAGCAGTAGGCTTGCTAGATGGTTGCTTAGGTACCTCAGAGAAACTACATCATAAGCGAAGTAGGCTGGAGACCAGTAGCTATTGTGTATGCTAAGAACTTGATGCTTACAAATTGTGCCTTTTAAAACAGCAACTAGTACAACAATTTAACTCTGATGCATTGTGAGCATGTTTTACATCAGGTTCCATGATCTCAGGACCTCTCATATCCTTAGAGCGAGGAGGTAAATAAATCAATTGAAGAGCATTTCATTGAAAATTGAATATACCTGTCCTTTTTGTTTACCTCTGTTTCTGCAGGATTTTTCAGAGTGGCTACTATGGACTACATTATAGTACATGCTTGGGCAAACTTTGGCCCCCCAGGTGTTTTGGACTTTAACTCCCACAATTCCTAACAGCCAGTACAAAACACCTGGAGGGTCAATGTTTGCCAATGCCTGTTATAGTATGATATGTGGAATCAAAATATGTGTTTTCATTTGTCCATGGTTTCACTTATTTACATAAGACCTCCTGTTCAAGCTGTATTTTCTTCTTGGTGACTCCATCATTCATCCCATTGAAAATAATAAAGTTCGCTATTATCTGTGGTTTCATACATTCACGTGAAATCCTGAAGGTATCTCCTGTAGATACCAGGACTGTACTGTGCTTACTGTGTAAGGCAGAGCATGGACAATTTCCTTAGTTGAATGTCAACTTTGGTAGGTTTGAAAGCATTTCAAAGGTGTTGAAAACAGAACTTGAAAAGTGGGTTGTTTTTTGTGCTCAATGCAGAGCTTTGTAACTTAACTTCCAACCAGGGGAGTATTTTCACTTTTGCAAGACTTGGTGTTTATTATTCGAATGACATGTGCTGAGCAAATGTGCATGATACTTAATATATGTGGGTAATGACTTCAGCAGGGGGCATCCCTACCTCCCAGGTTTGGGTCCTTAAATCTGAAGGCCTGGATTTCCCTGATGTAACAACTGTAATTGTAATCTGTGAACCTCAAAGCAAGCAAGCTTGAGGCTCTAGTTCTTTTCATTTTGGATCCTTTTGTTTTCGTGTTAAAGAAGTCATCTTTTGGGGACTCTATAGATGACAGTCTCCTTTTATCAGCTGAGAACCTTTGTTTTGAGATAGTTATTCCCCATGATTATATCAATCATATTAAGTCATGATTTTGGCCTTTTGACCAAGAGCTCCATTGATTAACCATGAGAGTTGCGGTGATGCAATTGGTTAAACCCTTGTGCTGTCAGAACTGCTGACCTGAAAGTCAGTGGTTTGAATCTATGAGAAAGATGAGCTCCCCTCTGTCAGTCCCAGCTTCTCATGCAGGCACATGAGAGACGACTTCCACAGGATGGTAACACATCAGCGCGTCCCGTGGGCAATGTCTCTGTAGACGGCCGATTCTCTCACACCAGAAGCAACTTGCAGTATATTCTCAGTTTGCTTCTGACATGATAAAAAAAATTGTGGGAGGCTTCTCTCATGTCCCCACATTGGGAGCTGACAGAAGGAGCTCATCCGCACTCTCCCCGGA